GGGGTTGATTAAAGCCTCGGGCCAAGTTGACAAACTAATCTGATATTTGAGTGTGCTTGGCTAATCAGGTTTTTTTAAAAAAAATTTCTGTTTGATTTGTGTTCTTCATCCAAGAACAGCAGGAACCAGAAACGACGACGTCCTTGGATATGTGTCGTCATACATCAGGACGGTCATAGGCCATGGAAACACAAGTTTGATAGATGGGGAGAAGTAAAAGCATTTTATCAGACACGCTTGAAGAGCAGCATCCATCCATCCATTTTCGAATCGGCTTCTCCTCAGGAGGGTCGCGAGCGCGCCGGAGCCTATCCCGGCCGTCTTTGGGCAGTCGGCGGCACCCTTGAACTGGTTGCCAGCCAATTGCAGGGTACACATGGACAAACAACCATCTGCCATTGGCGGTATAATTCCGATTGTAATGAGTCAGAATTCGCACAGCATTGACATGATTAGTTTTGTTTTGAATCTGAGTGCGAGTTCTGTCGGAAGGCGTGGTACGTCTGCAGGGTGCGGTTGTTGCAGGCTGCGGCTTGGCCACCGCTGCTCCACAGTTCTGCGCTACCCTTTTGTCCATGAATGACCTTTGTCAACTTGTGGCGAGTAAGACAAGAAGTCTCATCTTCATACTGTATCTTTATCAGAACAAGTCCCCTTAGCCCCCCACCCCCACCCCACCCACACATATTGTAATCTGACAACAACAACAAAAAAAAAAAAAATCGGGCCTCCGTCTGCACGTGACGAATCTTGATTAATCAGTTGGATGAAACTCTCTTTTTATTTTTTATTTATTTTTATTTTTTTATTGTTGTTATGGCCAGTCCCCTCAGGAACACGACCTCAGGCAGTGGGCAATCAATCATAAATCAGTCCGATGTGATTGCGGCAGTGATCGTCTCTTCCTCCTGTTTGGCTCTCACCTTTGTCTAGTCCTTCACAGCAAAGTTATGGGCATAACGGGCAATCCGAAACTGATCTTGTGGACGTGGGATTGCGTGCGCGTGTCGGCGTGTGTGTGCATGAGTGATGACTTCAAGCAACTGTGAGCTCGCACATCACACTTTCATGCATAAAAAAATAATAAAAATGAAAAAAAAAACAGCCTGCCTTGGTATCCTCATTTAATGACTACCCCCCAGGACAAAACCATTAACTTAATAACATCTCGCTGGCCCAAAACACACACACACACACACACACAAGACAGCGGTATTTTCTTCTCTCTCTAATGAACTAACGTAGGAGAAACATTTCACTCTGTCTGTGTGTGTGTGTGTGTGTGCGCGCACTTGCGTATGGGTGATTGTGTGTTCATTCACGTGAGGGGGTTGCAGTTTCATTTTACTAATTCAAGGACAGCTCCTAATCATGCAAAGTGACTACATGGACACGTTACGCGAACATATGCATTAACTTTGTACATGTTTGCACACACACACACACACACACACACACACACACACACACACACACACACACACGACGGCTACCCCGAGGCAATTTGTATTATTGAGTAGGTGACACAGTAAAATTTCATAATCTATTAGCAGTGTCGCAACACAGTCATGCAAGGTTGTGTTGTCTGTTGATAAAGACGGCATTGGACCAGCATGCGTGTTTTAATCTGGGTTGATGCGGCAGATTCAAAGCCACCGTTGATGACATCTCAGTATCTGTGGGGGCAGCAAGTTGGGGAGAGAGGGGAGGGGTCGAGTTCTTGCTGTGCTGCATTTTAGGAACAATAACACAGACAGTCGATAAAACATCAGACAATTTTATTTTAGTTTCATATGGACAGCTGCTACAAAGTAGACTACTGATAGGCATGTTAGATTTGGAAAAAAGAATCGTTTTCTTCACCATATATGAGCGGACTTTATTCCATCAGACGTATATACGTGACAAAGCGCTTCTTGCGAGCTGTCTGGTGAACAGTTCATAATTCAAATCAGCAGCAAATTCAATGGGTAATTGTCAACAGGATTCCCCCGTGCCGGCAATTATTGAAAAACATCCAAGAGCAGCCACACACACATGCGCACACACGCACACACGCACACCATCTACATCACCGTTGGCTCTCCAATTATAATTTTTAATATCCCGTTCCTCTGAGATTGAGATTAATGGCCAATCGCCATCATGAATTCCAACGCCGTCTATTATCATCCCAGCCGAGGTCCCAATCCGCACTAATTGCATTCTCAAAAGCGATCT